TCCTCAACGTTCCCACTTCCTTCCTCTCGTCCGAAGTCGCCTTCCTCTCGCCTAGCGTCGAAACCACCTTGCGCACAATTCTCCCTCATTTCTTATATCTGGTTTTAAACCAGTGGGGATGAAGTTGTAGAGGAGGCAATTGGTTTGGGGAATTTTTCGTGGATGTAGTGGTTGTGGTGTAATGGAGATGGTGGTAATGGTGACAGTGCGATGGTGGTGACGATGATTGTTGGTGCCGGTGGTGGACACTATTCGCCCAAGATCTGGATGCCGTTTGACTAGCTTCTGCGTTGAGATCACAGCACATGATGTTATCGGCGCTACGCTCAGATGATGCTGCCGATGCGGTGCGGTACTGTGATGGGCTACCTAAGATCTGGACACTATTTGCCTTGCTTTTGCATCGAGATTACAGCACCACTTGTTGTTTCTGCGATGTGGCAACTGATAATGGAGGTTGTTTGGCTACTTCTTTTATTTTATGACGTCTTTGCGGTGTTTTTATCAACAATAGTGTAGGCAGCATTAGTGTGCGGTGGTACGCGGCTAGTCTGTGGATTTTTTGGTAGGGGACCTAGGGGTGGTGGTTGTGGTGTTGTGTTGTGTAGATTGAGATAGAGGAGATGGTTGTGTGTTGTGTGCGTGGTGGTGTTGTTGTGGTTTGGCCAATGCTCTGGTGGCGAGGCAGTGATTGTTTGTTGGTGGTCACATATTTATTAGTTGATTGTGACCATTAAATTAATTAATCTGTGATCAATAAAAAAATAATTTGTGACCAAAAGATAACGTGTGACCTAAAAAATTAATAATTTGTGATAGTTTGATAAGTTGTGACCTATAAATAAATTGTGACGTATTAATTTTTTATCTGTAATCGACGAACAAATTGTGATTTACAAAGTTTTGAATTATGATCGTAAAATAATTTGTGACATTAAAAATTTTGATTTGTGACCGAAAAATAAGTTGTGACTAAAATTTAATCTGTAACTAATTATTTTTTGATTTGTGACTAATAAATAAACTGTGACCTACAAAATTTTTGAATTGTAATCGTAAAAAAAATTGTGACATAAAATTTTTGATTTGTGACAAAAAAAAATACTAAATAACTAACTAAATTGTAGAGATATGTGACCTAAATATATTTAATTAATAAAATAATTAATTAACTAATTAAATCATAAATAATTTTAATAAAAATCTGATTTTTGAAATTTGAAACTTATTTTCTTAAGTTTGAAACGTGTGATACTTAAGTTCTTACTTATGAAATTTTCCCAATTGTGGTGGTCACAGATTCATTAGTTGATTGTGAGCGTTAAATTAGTTAATCTGAGACCAATGTGACCAATAAAAATGATAATTTGCGATCAAAAGATAATGTGTAACCTAAAAAATTAATAATTTGTGATAGTTTGATAAGTTGTGACCTATAAATAAATTGTGATGTATTAATTTTTTATCTGTGATCGACGAACAAATTGTGACCTACAAAAGTTTTGAATTGTGATCGTAAAATAATTTGTGACATTAAAAATTCTGATTTGTGACCGAGAAATAAGTTGTGACCAATAATGTGATAAGTTATGACTAAAAATTAATCTGTAACTAATTTTTTTTATTTATGACTAATGAACGAATTGTGACCTACAAAATTTTTGAATTATGATAGTAAAAAAAATTGTGATATTAAAATTTTCATTTATGACCAAAAAATACTAAGTAACTAATTAATTTGTTAATTTGTGATTAAATTGTATATATCTGTGACCTAAATATATTTAATTAATAAAATAATTAATTAACTAATCAAACCATAAATAAATTTTAATAAAAATCTGATTTTTGAAATTTGAAACTTATTTTCTTAATTTTGAAACGTGTGATACTTAAGTTCTTACTTATGAAATTTTCCCTTTTTTTAATAGCTATTGTTGTTTGTGTTGACATTTTTAACCATTACAAGTTGGCATTTTGCTACATTTTGTATGTAAATCTTATTTCTTGAAAAAAGAAAAATCCCTAAACCATCAATAGGATTATTCATTAACATAAAATTTACATTGTACGAGAATCTATTTTATCTCACAGCTTTACTTTATTCTTTTTTTTTGGGGCTTTTTTGATTTGAAAAAGATTCAAAGTTAGAAGTAGAACCAATGCACCTCTAAAATGGCATCATATTCCTTGGTATATGAGGTTGATTGTTGAATCAAACACACGCCGTCAATTTGATTTTTGGACCGGTTCTAATCTTTTCAATTATAAAATGTAAGATTAGAGGTAAAGAAGACCGTCGATATGAGCCCGACTTGACCGTTGCATGCATGAATGTCTTTTATTTTATTATTTCTTTTTCCCAAAATAAATAAAGAGAGAGAAAGAGAGAGAGAGAGAAAAAGTGTCTGATCTAACTTGAGCAAACTGAATGAACTTTTAAATAATGTTATTTATAATCGACGATTGCAATATTTATTTTATGTGGTAGTTTATTATTTGAGATATTAACTTATTATTTGAGGCAACAAAATTTCAAGAAACTAATGCATCAAATAACAAACTGTCCATAGGATGATTATTGCAGTTGTCGACTATGAATAACATTAGTTTGGGTACAAGAATGGGGAAAACTTCAAATGTATTTCTCACATTTTGATTTGTTGTTTCATTATCATTTGATATAGAAAATAAAGGATACATAACGTAAAACACAATTAGATTGGTTGGACGATAAAAAATTAAATAAATGATTTTGTTATTTATTTATCTTACTTTTCACATCACAAAACAATTACATAACTTAAAACACAATATATATATATATATATATATATATAACTTTAGTTGTTGACTTTAACTTTATTTTTCGTCAAAATTTTAAGACACACCAAACAAGGTCTTAGTACGCTAAATTAACAGCTTGTTTGGGAGCGATTTTTTGCCCCCCAAAAATTAATTTTTTGACCGTTATTTTACTATTTCAGCCATCATATTTGATTTCTTCTCTCACAGATGGGCCCCACTTTTCTCCTAACAGTCTAAAAATCAATTCTCAAAATCACTCCCAAACAAGCTCTAAATATAGCACCTATTTGGTGGGAATTAAAATCAATTTTTAGCAGATATTTATAAAAGTTACTAAAATATATGGTTGAAAAGGATCCATAAAATATATGATAAAATTAATTGTTGATTTTAACTTATAAATAAATTTTAATTTTAATTTATATCAAACAGTGGCTTTATTAAATAATGGTTAGGGATCCATTTGTACTTTTTTCAAAGGTTAGGGACTTACTCGAAATTTTTTCTAATTAAAATTAACGCGTACTAATCTTTTCCATATAGAAAAATGAATCATTTGCACATCAAAAACACATAGGCTAGAGGCATTCATGCCAAGAAATAAACATAGGGGACCATTTACATACAAGGTAAAGGTAAAGGACCATTTGTGGATCAACACTGAAATTTGCTATATGTTACTACTTATTCATCGAAATTAAAAAGTTAACACTTTACTCACTAAATTTTGCCATAGATTACTATTTATTCACCGAGATTTAAAAAATTAATCGTTGCTCACCTAAATTTGAACAATATTACCCAACGATCACTTATATCATTTCCATCCGTGTTATCTATAGCAAAATTCGGTGAGGAACGAGTAACTTTGTTCAAATTTAGATGAGCAATAAGTAATCTTTTGAATTTTGTGAGCAAGTAGTAACATATATCAAAGTTTAGTGAGCAATGAGTAACTTTTTAAAGATAGATGAGCAAATAATAACCAATAACAAAGATGAAGGCTCATTTAAATCCTTCAGGTAAAGAAACATTTCAAGATGAAGGTTTTCCTGGCTATAGTTCGAAATTTGCAAGAACAAATACAACTAAGGCAAGCGAGAAGGCCATATACGACAAATCTTCGTGCTCATCGCGATTCAATGCTATCAGTTTCGATTATATAGTGAACTCATGTAATTAGAAATGAGAGTTTTTTTTTTTGTTTTTTTTTTATTTTTTAAACAATAAGTAGGCTAATGAAACCATGAAGCAGATGATTCCAACGCTAGTCTTCCGTAGCTGCTGCTTACATTTTGAGACACATTTCTATAGCCTCGCAGCTGGAAGTACATGAGGAGCATCCCACTCGGTCACAATGTGGTTGCGAGTGATCTCCTTTAGGGTACGGCAACCACTCAATGCCATAGTCAGCTCAAATTCGTCACGCAACATCTGCAGTACTTTTCTAACACCAGCTTCTCCTTCAGCAGCCAATGAGAAAACCACAGGTCGTCCAATCTGAGAATGAGACCGTGAAATGAGTTTCAGTCCTTTGTTATGTTAAATCACGAAAACCAGATACACACAGAACAGAATTCTTGTGTTATCTAGGTATGTGTCAAAATCTTCTATTGAAAATGACTATCCAAGCACTCTTCTCTACCCAGACAATGGAAGTGATTATTCACGGGAGGTCGGAAATTGCAAGAGTACTACAAAAGTTTTCATACTTCAGCTGAACAAAATTCATAAAAGATTTGGCCCAAAAATATTCCTAGCGGCACTTTAATGATTACTGTTGTAAAGAAAATTTTTTAAAGATTGTAGTTAGCTAGAAGAGAACCTCAAATCAATGAAGAGTTTGAGATGTTTAGGAGAGAGATTAAAACATCAAGAAATCTTTTAATGGAGGGGCATATTTACAGGAGGCACTGCCCGGTTTTCTCGATTATCTCGAACCAACATGGGTTGGAATTTTTTGTGTCAGGCTAGTTGACCTGCCCATTGACGCTTCTAGGAAGATTTCAAGAAATTAAGAGCCTGTTCTTAACATCCATAATATAAGAGTTGCCAAGTTGTGTTGGTATGTTGTACTCACAAAAATGCCAGAGGCTCCTAGTGCCAATGCCTTGAAGACATCTGTTCCACGGCGAATCCCTCCATCCAAGAATACTGGTACACGGCCTTGTGCAGCTTTCACAACCTGAAATTGATAGGAAGATTAGGAAGAATGGAAAAAAAAGAAATAAGGAACAAGCCTTGATCAAGTCACCTCTTCCAGAGCCATGATAGTGGCGGGGACATAATCAAGCTGGCGAGCACCATGATTGGATACAATTATACCAGCTGCTCCGTTCTCAAGAGCCAACCTTGCTTTATTTTCGGATGAGGTGAAGGGTTAATTTCTTCCTTCATTGTTTGTAGAAAAGAGAAAATGCATTAATTGAAAATTATTGCGAGTTCAGTGGTTCTTACTATCCTCTGCAGTGAGTACACCCTTCACCAGGATTGGCAGTGAAGTAATTGTCTGTAGCCACTTCACATCCTACGTGCATATTCAGAGAGAAGACTTTAAGTTTGCAGAGTCTTCCTCAAAACTCTCACACGGTGAACAAAATACAGAGCAAATTGAGTTACTTGTTTTATCTATAAAATCCCAATTTCTCCAACCAATCCAGTTTTGTCTCTTCACAAAATGATGAAACCAGATTCCAATATATTCAAGCAAATGGGGATTCATTTTTCTGCTAAAAAATCATAGAAAGTATATTATTGCATTTTTATGAATTCTTAATGTTTTTTAGTTGAAGAAAATAGTTTCTAGGATCTTAAAAACCAAGGAAACAGATATCAGCTTTACAGCATAAATCACACCCATGACCTTTGAAAGACTTAGATTCGTAAAAGAATTTCTCAAGATTCAGGACCTTCCAACTCAGAGAACGATCAATTTGACCAGCAACATATGAAGCTAATTCAGAGTCATCGGCCTGCACCCCAGAGTGTGAGTTAAAACAGTGTGTAAAACCTCGTCAACAGAATAAGTAGACAGGCTAAATTCTTGATTGTTATCTATTCCACTTACTTTGTCCATCTTCCCAAGGTCCAATCCCTCAAAATTCTTCAGTGTCAAAAATGGTGGCAAAGTAAATCTGTATGGGAATGGGAGAAATTTTTTCTTGAGAGTCAATTCCCAATAACCAAGGATTCTAGAAAGATCTCACTAGTTTGAACGGTTAGGGAAAACAAATTATGAGCCACCAAAACATCATGTTTTTAGGCTTAAAATCCTATGATGAACAGCTTTGGAACCAAACTTTTGGCTGTTCATACCTGTTTTTAATATCAGCTTCTCTGCGTCCCAATCTAGGGGTATCCACTGTAAGCGCAATAGCCTTGAAACCTGCCCTTTCAGCCCTCCTCACAAGCTGTGCAACAACATTCCGATCTTTGTACACCTGAATAAAACGTCAGAGATTTATATATTACTTACACTATAGCTAGTTTTACTACACGCATCTAAAGAGCCAGATAAGCAATGGTGGTGTTCAAATATAAATAGCAAATTGCAATTTTAATCTTACATAAAGCTGGAAGAATCTAATGCCAGGTCCGGTTGAAGCAACTTCTTCAACGCTTGAGGTGGCCCATGATGACAGAGTCTAAAACATAAACTCCATATGCATTAGAAACATGAACTATAAATTGATATTTATGCCTCATAAGGGAAACCAAACCATGATTGTTCCCGCAGCTGATGCGGCTCTAGCTGTTGCATATTCTCCTGCATGATTGATAAGTTTTTTCGTCAGACAACAAACTTTTCTCCTTCATGACATTTTCACATTTGGAACTAAACAAGATAATAATAATGCAACCAACTCACTTAATGTCTAATCTTGAAACGAACTACAAATTTCAAGTATAACTTGAGCCTTATCAACCCAATGGACTAAAAAGTGTTTCTTGTCGGTGAGCATATTCACATTCAGGATTAGATAGGAAATCGATCAGATTGTCAGATTTCCAGTAATATTCTCAGCAAATCAAAATTTAACGGACAATATCACAAATCAATATTTACAAAAGATAACAGAATCGAATCAAGTGAATAGCTTCAGTGGCGATATATCACATAAAACAAATATGAAAAATGATATTGTAATGGATTTCATAACACGATAAGTTCGTTGTAACATAATTTCGCACCGTCAGGATGAGCCATTTTCTGCATAGCAGTTGGCGCGATCATCATCGGCATTGAAATGTTGAAACCCAAGACACTGGTGGTCATGTCAATCTTGCTAACATCAATAAGAATGCGTGGCCTAAACCTGTGATTTGCTTGAGTAGCTTAGAAAGAAATAAGATATAATAGCCTGAATTAACACAGTTAGGACAGTAAATTACAGAAATTTAGCCCTCAATATCATGAACAACTTACAGAATTCTTGAAAAGGCATTTCTGTTCTCAGCCAGAGTCCACTGGTCCTCTGCACCAGATGCATAGTAATCATACACCATTTTTGGCAACTTTTCCTTGGCAATAGCCTGATACTCAGAAACATTGGTAATCTCCATCGTTTGACTCTTTTTCTACGCGTTCTCTCCAAAAATCTTGACCAAATCAGAAAATCCATTATCTATAGTTTTTCGAGTTCAAATCTTTTTTAGTTCTAAAAAACTATCACTAGAAAACAACATATAGTGAATAAACGAGCTCATTCGTTCAGACAGACAGTTTCACTAGTTTGCTTGAAACGAGTTGCTCATCGAAAGGGCAATTTTGGTCAAAAATAAAAAATAAAATGAGTACAAGGTAGGATTTTGTAACTGATACTCATCAAACCTCAAGAAAAGCTGCAAAAACAAACAAACTAATTCAAGTTTCACAGTGTTTTAAAAAGAGCATTATTTGCTAAACCTCCTAGTCTAAAGGCTTGAATTGTTAAAGAATGGACGATTTATTAATTTATTATGTCTCATACAATTTTTACGGCAAGAACTGAACTCAGGATGCTTCGCCTATTTTGATACCAAGTGGCAAGCGTGATAGTTTTTAGACAAGTTGGTTCGAGTTTAACAAGTCAAACCAACATTAAATGAATTTAAACAACAAACCCACGTGTATACATTGAACAATCACAAATTATCACCTAAAAAATATCAAATTCTTCCTCAAACTAATCAGAATTCATTAATCAGAACTTGATCATAAACTGAAAAACCAATAGTTCTTAACAAATACCAACTTCAGCTAAGAACCCACACAGTATATTAGTTACAAAATGAAAACTGATGTACCAGAATCTATGTAGAGAGATAGAGAAGTAGAGCATCCCTTGAAGTTGTTGACTAAAGGGAATAGCGCATGCAGAAGGAAACTAATTGAGGGCCTCCTAGATAAACTAGAAAAGATAATAAGCCAAGAAAAATAATGATAAGTTATGGGGAAATAAGTAATTTTATAAAACAGGAACAAAAAGACAAATGGGAATTCCAAACCGCATCCGATTAGGGGCAACTTGGTGACTTTCTGCCACATAAGTCGTGTGTGCTTCATACTCTGTATTCTATTATCATCCAAAAATGTCGTATTTTTCAAAATTACACACATACATACGTATGATATACGTATATATTGGCACTAGGAATTTGTATTGTGTGAATAACTGTGATGTATGGTGCGGTTTAGCTTTTCTTAGTATGTCATAATCTCTGTTTTCTCTGCCTCTGTCCGGATTTTTCTGGGATAATTAGACAATTCGGTACTTGTAAAGAATGTGGTGAGGGCTCTTAGTCTCCCTTTCGGAGAGTGTTGTATTTGAGAATTAGTTTCGGTATATCCCATCGGCGTTGACTGAACTTTTAACAAAATTTCGATCGAATCACTAAATTTTAATTTATTTTTATTGAATCATAAAACTTCAATTTAGTTTTAAATTGGATGAATGAACTTCAATTTTGTTTCAAATTTCACCACTACGTTACCATTCAAATTGATGAAAATAACTTAATTAGCAATCTATCACAATGAATCTTTTGTGTAATCGCTGTTTGACATGTCAATTGTTACTACACAATATCATAATCGTATTAAAATGTAAAACATACATTGTAATCCTTTAATCAAGAAACATAGTCATAGCTCTCGTTTTAGCCCTTTGTGTTTCTCGGGTGCCACATAATAGAAGATCAACTACAATATAGTTGTCTTTACTAAGATTTCATTGAATTTTTAGGTGACAATGGACGAAACTTACCAATTAACCTCTGTTTGATTTTGTTAAAAATCATATTTTTAGTAAATTTTGATAAAAAATTGATGAAATATATGGTTGAAAAATTAATAAAAATTGAGAATCTCATAAAATACGTAGTTAAAAAGAATTTTGCGAGAAATGAATTTTTAGACTTTCATCAACTTTTTGTTTTTATATCCTGCGCCTTATTTAAGTTTTCCCAAACCAACGCAATCTCACCTTTTCCCGTTGGCAACTACAATAAATAAACAAGAGAAGTTACAAAATTGTGCATTCCTAGGCATGACCCATGCTACTAGTGAAATTTAATTGGAAATAGTAGCAAGTAGGCAAGTTGGTTGGACAAACTGATAAATGATAAAATGACACGCGATATTTTATAATTCATTATGTAAAGTTTAATGTATAAGTAGCAAGGTCTCTAAAAAGTTATCATTTTAAAATGTACCCAAAGTATTGTAATGACCTTGATCCCGACCTTTTGCATTGTAGGGTTAAAAGTTAAAATGCAATATATATATATATATATATATATATATATATATATTGAAAATGTCATATGATTATGTCATTATTGTAGTAGCCGAGAAAAAATAAAATGGAATTATACTATTATTTTGTGATGATCTAGCACAACGAGCCTAACCCATTTTAGAAACGATCGATGGATGCTCAACCCATGTAAGATTACGAAAGTCCAAGTCATAAGTTAATTAAAAATCCAGCAATTTAAAATATTAAATTTAAGTAAAATTGACTACAAAGATTTAATGAATAATTGGGTTGCTACAATGGTCATCTACATGGTATTTCATATAGGCAACCCAGGTTCGAATCACCATGTAGATGTTTTTTATAAAACTTTCATATGAATTATTTTTATAGCTTAGAGACTCTTCAAATTCTTAGTTAATGACTAAGTTTAATAAATTTAATGATAGTACAACTCCCCCACTTAATTTTTCATTAAAAAGAAAGGTTATAGAAGTGGAAGGTCACTTTTTCACTACACTCCTCTTCAAATCCGAATTTCATCTCATTTTCTCTTAAAAAAATATATTTCATATCAAGTTAAGTTTAATGTATAACAAGGGTAAGAAAAAGGAAGGCTTTCTATATATTTTATTCTTTTATCCAAGAAATTTCAAGATAGGTAGACGTGCAAGTGTTCATTCGTTTTCAAATCTGATTTTTCGATTAATGTTTGAATGAAATGGTATCTTCGGATACGGTGCTTCGACACTACAACAGTTTGAATGATCATTCTCCAACTCTACGTGTTATGATAATGCTATAGTAATTGGATTTTGCCGAAAATTCATCTACGTGCGACGGTATAAATCTATAGTTCGAAATTTCTAATTTGATAACGAACTGCACCGATAATATCTATTGAGTTTCAAATTCATGGGTTAATTCCCTTACTATAGATTGAATGAATTTTCCTTGGAGCGTAGATAATGGTAAAGGATGATGCAACATGTTATGGGGAAGTCGGTGATTTACATCTTTAGTTGATTTTCAGGTTTTTGCACTTTCTTTAAATTTGATTCCTATGAATATTGTGTGGATCTATTTTATAAACACTCGTTATGAATAAACTACGTTTGAAAGTAGATATGCATTATAGGAATAAATTTACAAATCATCGTATACAAAAAAACTTAACGACTTAAAGTTTTGATGTCTCTTCAGAAATTTTAGTTTCTGCCTCATTTAAAAAAAAATCATAACTCTTTCGTTACTTGGTATTTTTATACGAAACCAATTGGATTGGATAGCCTAATAAGTTAGATAATGAATAAAATTGGAATCATGTCAATCCAATATCGGTAAAAGGTTATATGTCATATAAAGTAAACTGTGTTGGGTACTATCTCTGTTTTTCAGCTTCTATCTTTATTTTCAAAAATTCATAACTCACTCGTTACTTGGAATTTTTGGATGAAACCAATTGGATTTGATAGTCTCATCGATTAGATACTGAATAAATTTGAAATCATGTGGTTTTGACTTCGGTGAAATTTTATATACCATTTTAAGTGAACTGCACTGGTTTACATTTCAACCGGATTGCTGCTGAGTTTTGAAAAATATTTTAATACCCCATATTATGTCGACAAAAGCTAGTTTTTGATTATATCATATAATAAAGAGTTTACTACCTTACATTAAAATTTGATGAAGTTTCAAGGTCGATAGCTATGAAAACAAATTTATTTTGATAATTACTATTTGAGACCAAAAAAAACTGGAACAGCATCATTACTTTTTAAGTTTTACCAAAATTTCACGTCAATAGTCGTTACATGCATGGAACCCATTCTAAAAACATTTTTGAAATTATTTTCTTTTAGAATTGGATTATTTTTTAAATAAAAAAAAAGAAAATTCTTTAATTAAATTCTAAAATTTAATCTTTATACCTTCTACTAAAAATATATTGAACTAACTTTACGGCTAATGTACAATGGTTTGAGTGATGTTCAGTCCATGCGGGTCGGGGCATTACAGCGTGGTATCAGAGCAGTAGTTAAGTCGATTCTGTAGACTTAGTGTATTTTATTTATGAGATGAAAAAAAATGAAACATTTAAAGCACTCCATGGCATCTTGCGTCTATCAGTTGACCTCATCCGACGAATCCAAGATATGAAATAAAATATTACGTTCCACATTATTTCTTCGAGCATGATTTTGGTTTTTTTTTTTAATCATTTAAGCTTGAATCTATGAAAAATTCTTATGATGTTTTGATGTTTTGAATGAAATATGTTATGTACATTATATTTTGTTTAAATATACGTGAATAAATGATAATTGACCATCATATTAGAACCTCAAGAGCATAATGTATAAGTTGATATCACTAATGAAGATAACACATAATTGGGCACTTATGTGACAGATATGGTTAGAACTTATTAGACTGCTATAAAGGCCACAGTTTGTATAGCAGTGTTGAACCGTAGGGCCATGATCCAGTCCTATGAAAACTATGCGACGGACCCGTCTCATCCACTTGTTGAACACGTACATGATATCTACGAGAGATGTATGGCAGCTGTAGATGCGGGACTGGAGATCATGCACATCGAGGCTGTGAATAACCTTATACATTCACTTCCACCTCAGTGGGGAAACATGGGAGTCATTGTTAAGGATGAGATGCTAGAGGGTAACCATCCAGAGCGCCCAAATACGATTGAATTTTGTATATATTGTTAGACCTTTCTAGACAGATGGAGTGAGAGTTTAGAACCCCAACCGGAGATAGTAATTGAACCCAATAATGAGGTTGAGCCTGAGCTCGAGCTCAAACCTCAGTTTGAATCAGACCCAGAGGAAGATCCCGAATGGGAGCATGAGGATGACTTTGGGTTGGACTTAGAGAATGATCTTGAGCATGAACCTGAGCCATAGGTTGAGATGGATCTAAAGTCAGGGCCTGAGACAGAAGACTCCTCCGAAGATGAGGCTCTATCGAAAAAGATTCGCAAGATTCATAGGGATTAGAAATTTAGATTTCCATTTCCTTGTGATATCTTTTCCTTTATGTTTTTGAAAAAAAATAAAAAATTGTCGACCTATCGTATGTCCTGATTGCAATGATTACTATTAATAAAGAAAAATTATGATCAATTTGAGGACTACCTTATTTTTTTAAGTATTCTGGTGTTGGCAAACGAAGTTAATGTGAGATATTATATCTTATCTCTAGGAAAATGTCTCGAGCAAACCAGAACAACTTGATAAGGGATCTCCTGTAAGCGGTTCAAGATCTTGGCAGGCTGAATCAAAATCCCGCTCTACCTACACCACCATCTCCTATTACTCTTCCGACTCACGCCTCGATAGTTGAGTTATTTCGAAGGCATAAGCCCCCTACCTTCGATGGAGCATCTGGTCCACTAGTAGTTGAAGAATGGCTTCGTAAGCTAGAACGATTTTTTCGGCTCATAGACTGCACTGATGCCCAAGGGTTCAATGTGTGGAGTTTATGTTTACCGGTCATGCAAGTCACTAGTGGGATTCGATGTCCCGAACTACGATTTCGGAGCAGCAATTGGCAATAACTTGGGAACAATTCAAGGAGAAAGTGATGGACAAATATTTTCCTCAATCTCTAAGGGATTTCAAGGAGAACGAATTCTTTCAACTC